GGAAGGAAGGAAGGAAGGAAGGAAGGAAGGAAGGAAGGAAGGAAGGGAGGGAGGGAGGGAGGAAGGGAGGGAGGGAGGGAGGGGAGGTAATGAAGGGCATCCCTCATTGAATACTTTGAGGTCCAGCTTTTCTAAGAAATTTGTGGCCATCCTGATTGCTGCATACTCTTGTTTCTGGCTGGTTTTTTTGGGGTCCCAGGTGAGGGCACTGTGTCTCTCCCTGAGGTAGAGTTTTCAAGGAGGATCATCATGATGTCAAAAGGGATGGGCATGATCAGAGCTATTCTCTTCCTGACAAAGAGTTCCCAAATGAAAACATTTATCTCAGGCTTTGTGGTGACCATACCAATCAGAAGGGATGTGACCGCCTTTTCTTGGGGATGGGGGGTGGAGGGTGGTGGGAGGTCGGGGAGCCACATGTATTAGCAGATGTCACGGTGGGGGGAGTGTGTGTCCTGGTCAGGCTGCCTCGAGCAGTCCCAGTCCTGCGCTTATGCTGTGGGCTCGTGCACAAGTCACCCCACTCTCACAGCTTGGTTCCCGCTGCTGTAAACTCGGGGCACTACCGGTCCCTACCGCATGAAGTTACTGTGGCACTAAGTGCGTAATGTATGTAAAGTAATGTATGTAAAGCCTGGCGTCCAGCCCCTCTGACAAGGTCATGGTAACTCTCAGCTTTAGGACCAAGCAAATAAGCATGTTAGCAGCCAGAATGCCTCCTCTGGGAGTTAGACAGGACAGGAAGGACCCCCAAAACCTCCCCAGCCAGCAGATGGATACATGTCCATATAAATTACCTGTGGGATAACATCCAAGATGAAAAAATACCCCCAAAACCCCTCTTGGTTGACAAAATACATTGGCATCTGCCCCCGGGGATATGTCCGGGAATATGCTTTGTAAATCGTAGCTCTTTTGCCAAAGTCTAATGTAGGGCCGCCATGTTGCACAACTCCAGAGTCACCATTCCCATCAGAGTCCATGTGGAGGGCGCCACCCTCCCACTCCAGCTAGGCAGGACATGAGCTGCAGGGACATTTGCAATGCCCCCCAAAAAACAGTTAAGTAATAACAGAGTCTCTGCTTCA